CTATACCAGACAGAAGAAAGCTTTAGATCCGAATGCACAAACCTCATTTAGGGGAGATAAAGGGGCCTTTAAGCTAAAGAGCTCTTTTTCTCCCATAGAAGCCTATGTATTCTTAAAGGACCTTTAAGTAAGGACAAAGTGGCAATGAACCTGGAGAAATTCAAATGGAAGAAACTCAAACTTCAAACACCTTAATAACTGTAGAGTTTAGACCTTGACATTGGAGATGGAGCTTGGAGCCTAAGGCCCGAATGTTAATAAGGTGTTTGAAGTTTGAGTTTCATCCATTTGAGTTTCTCCAGGTTCATTGCCACTTTGAGAAACGGGCACCCCTGCACGACTAGCTCTTGACTCATTAATCAGTGCACCACTCCCAACGTAAAATCTCTGTACCGACAGCTTCGCAGGCGCGTGCTAAAGCTTGAGCAGGAATTCAACCTCAGAACAAAGGAGGAGCACTTTTCTGCCCTAGCACAATGTGCACAAAGTTCCTCTTCGCAATTATGGCTCCATGATATCTGAGAGCAATCTTGTAAGTTCTTTGACTGGGTTGCGGTAACATTCCCGCTGATGACATGCTTCCTAGGAAAGTCATTTGGCTCGACTTCATCTCTTTTCCCGATTTCTGTGCTACATTCTCCTCATGTTTCGAATGTGATGGACATGGAATAATGCGTGTCTCCACTACGATTTCTTAATGTTGTGACGTGCTCGAAACATGGTGCTTCTGTACGTCGTCAATTGGTACGCCATGCTTTGGTTACGACTTACTCGGACTGCAGATGAAAATCATTAGGCACTATATAACGGGTGTGAAGTAAAGTCCTGAAGAGGATTAGAATATTGAGTATAAATCGTCATGAAAGAACTCCCGTATCGTGAAAAGTTTAGAAATTTGAGAGGCAAAGAAAGAACAGAATAAACAACTCGGATAGTGATTATTATGACATTTAAAAACATCAAACCATAAAATGTTGGCCGATTATTGGGAACTATGGGTGACATGAACCAGATTCGTTTAGCTTTAAACTGATTCGTTTTCATAATGGGCGTCTATGGGGATACGTTTATCTGTTAAACTGATTCCCATAGGGTACCATTGTGAGATCAGATTAGTTTAACTTAAACGGATTCGGTGCATGTCACCCTACGAGTTTGGATGAGAGATAAAGACATGGTCTTTCATTTTGCAGCTATAATAAATGGCAACAACTCAAAGCGCTCAATGTAACGATGCACAATGTAATGGCTATACAGACTAGAGTCATATGGCAACAATTCGACGCCACATTTATCAGAAAGGTTCCTATCCTGAACGATTAGACATGAGGGTCCTTTCCTCCTGACTGTTATTTTGCATTTGGTTCTTGTGGTAGATGAGAGTGGAGGGGAGAACAAGCGTCATCAATTACCAGATATTGGGGTTCTGAGCGGGTGGGGGGGCTAACGGTTTCGGAGATGACCGGAACGAGAATTCAGGTCTTCAACCACTGGTCTATCGTTATCGTTAGTATTATCGTACAGGGCAGGAACCTTGCTATTTAATCCGCAAGAATAAACTGATACCATACAAATATGGTGAATATAGGAAAAACACGGACTCTTGTTTTCATTAACGGGAAGCTAGTTCAGTCAGTCTGTCGTTGTACCGAACTTCAAACTTCTGCAGCTGTAAATGAGAAGTTGGGGGGGGGGGGGAAATTAATAGAGGAGAGCATGCATTCATGTTGATGCGTGAGTGCAGCCAGGATGGAGAGACGGGAAGCACTGAAACGCAATCGAAACGATAAATAGGTTTCATTCCGCAGGAAGATCATTGCATATTCAGACAGAGCGAATGATTAGAATCAATCACATGCCCACGATGATAATAAAAATTCCCATCGGTCGAGGACGGGATTTGAATAACTATAGAAAGATCACGCTGAGAGCGAGCCATTAGGGGAAAATGAGGGCTGATGATGTGAATGAGGGATGGGGAAATGCAATGAAGGACCCAGGTCATAAGTCAAAACAAAATGACAACAGCTGCTCGGCTCCTGCACTTGGCATCCACCATGACTCATTTCACTTCTCACCCATTTCTCACCTATTTCTCCCTGTTCTTCGCCTCTACCCAACACTCATCCAGGCCTGTCCCAAACTTTTTTTTCCGACTTCCTTCTTGTATCCTCACAAGTGTCTTCTTATGCACGTCTGTCTTTGCGTCCAAAAATATAATACTAGGTACGAACGTTCATACGAATTTCTCAGTATTTATGACTTTCAATCGCTCCATTCTCACCATTTTGTCAAATCCAGCATGATTGCAAGCGTACTGATCCATGCTAAAACCGAAATTAATCCCGGTAGGAAAGAATAGAATCAGTTTAAGGTTGATCAGGAATGAACGAACAAGCGATCGTTCTAATCTTTTATTACAGTAATTCGTGATCTTATTTCTTGTCGACATTTATCACAATTTGATGAGCTTGAAAGGAGCACCAAATTACTCTGAGACATCAGGATTTCAAGATTCTGTAATGATCTGAGTCGGGCATCCAGGGATCTAATTCATTGTATTTTCATAATGTGAAGTTATAGAAAAGCCACTTTGCACCTTTTTAGCTTAAACTTAACAAATGAGCAAGCTTCCAAGCCTCTAGCCTGTGAGTTGTTAGACTGGCCTGGACGGAGAAGGAGATTTTATTTCCTTCCTCGCCTCTGGAGTTAACTGGCCTGAAAAACGTCATGAACCAAGGGCTGGCAGGATTCCTGTTTATTTGAAAGTTTTACCCAATCTGCACTGGAATTCTCTTGCGGAGAATCTCTCTCGGAGCTCTCGTCCGCGTTTTCATCCTAATTTAAGAGAGAATTGCCTCCAGAAAGTTCACTCACTCCTATCTCCGACTTCGGCATTCTTCCTCTGAATTGAGTCTCTATGCTGCTAAATTTCTGAGAAGCATGGAAGCAAAGGTGAAAACAGAAAATGTTTCGACTCGAGGGTTACTGTTCCAAGTCTCAAATCAGTAAGTACACCACTGCTAGAGGAACAGAGACGAGGTAGTGAAAACGCAGTGCAAAACTGCAGATGCTTTCGCAAATACTTATTGCATCAAGCCAAGCTGTCGAAAGCTCCAACTTCCTTGGTTCGTACGGAGAAGTGACAAAACATCAGAGCTCAGCAACAGTTGAAGAAAAAGATTTTGTGGAATCAGGCCAAACGAATCAAGTGAATTATTTTTTAAACAATTGTTCCTCGGCCAATCGTTTTACCTCCTCGACTGAACTTGGCCGAAAGGAATTGAATTTATTTTGCGCGTGTAATCTAACTTTCGCGAGTTGGTGCACCTCATGATGAAATTTAGAGGAGAATCGATGCCATTACGCACACCAAAGCCTGAGAAAGTGAAATATCTACAGGATCGGAAAATATTGACTCACCCGTTCTTCTCATTTCGCTATGTTTTCCCAGCGAAAAGGGGGATTGTGAATTTTGATTCCCTTCACACTCTAATGGCAGGCATATACTGCACATGTATCGTAAAGGAATTTTCCAAAAAGGAAAACTTCCCGGCTTCGTTCTTCCAGCGTCAAGGCGGAACCCTTGGGCTCTTCGTACAAGACGGGCTTATTATCTGTCATTCCCTTTGCGATTTATGGAAAAATAACATTGAAATCAGTTTCTCATTCCTTTTTCCTTCTATCCGTCCGAAGCCGCCATAAAAAGCCTGCGTAGACCTCTGTTACTTTTATCTTGAAAATCAATTAAGTTCCCTAGTGATATTTGGGTGTAGCATCTGGTCGTAAAGTTTTTATGGTGGCCATTGGAATAGTGACCAGCACCTGTAAATGGCCAGTGGAACCGCAGGCCACTAACTGGGCTGGTGCTCTTATTATTGATGATGGAACTAGGACGATATCTCTTCTGTCTTCTAAGATAGTCCTATGCGTATTCATTCGTGCTTTTTTCCTACGTGAACCAATCACCATCGAAAGGCATTTTCCAAGTCTCAAATACTTTTTCATCTTTAAATAACATGTGGAGAAGTTCTGCAACTTACGAATCTCTGGGAGTGACGTCATGAAAGATATAAAAAGCTTTGAATTGGCCTAGTAAATTGGCTATCGAGAATCGGAGCAAAACGTAGTGATAAGACAACCTCTGGTATCGACGTGAATGCTGTCTTGATTGGACAGAAACTCCTTGTAAATAAGTTCGCATCCATGGTAATGTACCTTGCTCCAGGTCGATTATTTACTCCCTCCTCAGCTCAACCATCATCCTAATAATCAATCGAAAAGCAATTTGCCCCATTTGCTGGTTCAATTGAGGTTTAAAAATTCGACTCCACGGGAGATTGTATGACTTTATTGAGAGTGGTCTTTGAGAAACGAATTCTTCCCTGTCACTAAAAAAGCCCAAACGATCAACACTGCATATGTAGGCCTGTATTCATCCAGTATAATCCTTAAGTTGCATTATTGTAATCAGACTTGAGTTTCTCTTGAATATTTTTTTTTTCGCAAAGGAAGCCTAAGATCGATCCTTCTAATATTTTCAATGGCATCACTGTCCTCCCCCGTGACGTACGCTAGGGTACTATTTGCACCATCTTGTGTTTTTTTTTGCTCCAAAAAGCTACTTTCTTCCAAAATTTGATTGGAACTACTAAATAAAGACTGGAGGAGTGACATTTAGACAGTTATTTTTTACTTTGAGAATAGTAGAATGGGGTTTAGGAATTTCTAAAAAGAAACCTCGTGGATGCATTTGCATGCAAGTGAATTGAGAATCACATGGGGCTCAATTATTTAAATGTGATGGTTCTGAAGAAATGAACCCAGTGACCCATAGCTTTTTTTCCTCTCAAAAATCGTCGTCAGCCCTATCCCCTAAAATATAATGAAGACTTTTTAGGAATTCTATCACGGAGTTCATCTGTCTTTCAAGAAGTATGGTGAACATGACGGAGGAGTCAGTATACTTTGACCTTGACTGAAGCTTGAAGAAGACTTACGAGGAAGAGGAAAGGAGTGTGGATGCCGAGAGCGGAGAGTGCGGTGGAGAAGAGGAGGATCTGGAGGGTTCGACTCTTGAGAGGTTGAAAGTCCAAGATAGGAGGCTTGTCTGAATCTCCCCCTCGATTTCCCTTCTCTCCAACCCCTTTCACTTTCCGCTTCTGGGTCTTCAGGTGTAAGATGGCCCTCCTCTGGGGATGGTACAACGTCGCCGACCGGTAGCACGTGCCAAGGATCGACGTCACTACCACCGCCCCCGTTACCGCCTGCAGGCCCAGCCTCCATCCCGAAGAGCTGCAATATATTTAGAGTAAAAAAAAAAGAGACAATTATCGCTTTCATGCATTATGCCACAATATATATAGCATTCAACTGAAATGAAATTCAGCTTGCTCTTATCAGTGACTAAGGTTTCCTTACGGTCATGCCCCTTCATGATCATAAGGGCAACATCAATGCATTGCTATGTTACATGGATTGGTGAGAATCATACGTCCAAAAATATTCGATAATGGGAATGGCATGGTTGGGGCAAATTTTCGACGAAAGTATAGAAAGCATTGAAAGCAAAAGCCTCAAAATAACTCGTAAAATAAGCATTCCTTCCATTTTTGAGTTTCTTAGAATACCCTCGTACATGAAAATATTTAGGCCCGAATGCACAAATCTCATTTAGGAGAGATAAAGGGGCCTTTAAGCCAAAGAACTCTTTTTCTCCCTTAGGAGTCCATGTATTCTTAAAGGACCGTTAGCTAAAAGTGGTTTCAGCGTTCGAGCCTAACATTTCCTTCTTTTAATACATTATTTTCTTTAAAAACAAACGGGTGATCAATTATGTCCATTCCCCATTCATCATTCTTTCCTTCCTACGTTCATCCATATCTGGTGAATAATTCATTTGCATAATCAATCATAGAAATTTGAACGTAACACGCTCGTGTAGGCACATACTACGTTCACTACCTGTTGAGGTAGGTTCACTACCTCGCATCGTGGGTCACAAGTGTTTTGAAGAATTTGGCACGCCTCCTAAAGAAAAGCGAATAGCTTGCAACATCGCCATGGATTCTTCATGGAAGCTTCGGAGAGGAAAAAAAGACACCCCCGAAGGCAGCAGAGGAGCCTTTCACGCCATTATTTGCATACAACAAGGGCGATCCGTCAGGCTCGGTTATATTTCTTAAACTTCCCACGCCTTCCAGAATTAGCAAGTCAAGAAGCTTGGGGGTTTGTTGGAGCCGTTGGAGATTTATAGCCTGTTACAACTTCATTCTCCAGCTGCAATGTGTCGATTAGTTCGCGAGATCACGTCGGGCCTGGATCACATTTCACCACGATTTTCATTCTCATCGTCTTTCTTTTTTTTATTGCTAGAGGCCTTGAAACTTTCCCCCTGCCGAAACCGGAATCCTTCTGGAGTACTTTTTCTTTGCATGCATTGGGGGCACTTGAGACGTGTAGGTGAATCACCATAGTTGAACGGATATTGCCCTGGAAACAGAGGTGTGAGGCACACTCCTGATTTCATTTGCAGAGCATTTCACGAGGAGATTCTACATGGTCTCTGCATAAAATCTGTAAATTTTGAACAGCCAACTATCCAGAACCTCTGTATTTTACCTGGTCATGATTATCTTCCGAAAAAAGGTATCCTTGAGAGAAAGGTATCCGTTGAATTCATCATTCCATGATCAACAGTCAGACCTTCATCCCTCTTGTTGACAAAGCATGGCAGTTCAATTTCCGATGTATCTATCTCTTCTGGGAGGAGGTGAATGGGCCAACAATCCATCGTTCATTATTCATGTAATGTACCATGCAGTTTTGAGACAGATTTCGAGCTCCCTCTTTTTTTTGTCTGTGCATGGGTCAGTTCCAATCGGAAGCAGCAAGGTTCTCCAGTTACGGCGACACTGCCCTGCAGAATGTTTTTTCGAGTACGACATACGTGCCACCCGTGCGTCCGTGAAATTATAGCAGCTGTCATTCTTCCGTCATTTTCTACGATGATATAATCATCAAAATCAGCACAGATTGATACTTTTTTAATGCATCAGTTTTAAAACTCGATTTTTTCAATTTGTCAGATCACGAGATGTTTTACACCGTTCAGCTTGAGGATGCCAGAAGTTGAATGAAACGCAACTTTCGCACCCCAGCTGCACATCATTCTGCAACTGTAGGCACGAGCTCATGTGCACCCTTGGACCGAGGCACCTGCATGCCAAGGAGAAAAACCTACTGAAGTCACTCGTGTCGATTCAGGTTTTCGCTAATAGACATAATGTGCACTGTCCGACTCCTTCCCCAAGTTTATTATTATGTCCTGTCCTTGCGTCTACTGTGTCCTGATTATGACATGATATTCACAATCAAACGGCTCGCCTACTAACCTCGATAGTTTTTCGTTCCCGCCTCGCGGAGATGGAGGAATACTCCTTGGCGTCAGTTCTTTCTTTTACAGAATAAACGTTAAATAGCGGAAGAGATTTTACTTCCTCCACAAGAGACAACTAGCGAAGGATGAGTGAAGACATCTCTTGGACTGTGATCGAGTCTCCGTCCTTTCCCCCGCTGGTTTTCAGATCAGGGGTGAGAAATGTGGAGTTTCTGTCCATTCTGACCAGCAAAACAGTGGAGTTCGTGTTATGGCATCACAGCAGGTACCAAATTACTTCTCGACAAAGAAAGAGTGCTTAACATCATTTTCACTTTTCTTCTACAAATCGGAACGAATCGAAATCATGTTACACGAATTCATCTCATTCGACTTGCCGAATGGGATGAATCGTACCCGGCGACTGCAACCGCGAAATTGGAGCATGAGTTTATTTATTTCAGGACTCAAGGGCTCGATTTGCTAAGCCCTACTTAATGCAAACCTGTTCTAGTAGAGGTGCAAAATACGCAGATTTTGCAGCTAGAAATCTGCGTTTTAAAGTTCTGCCTAGAGTATGAATTAGGAACAAGGTTTCGGTAGCTTGTATTCACGTATCGAAATCCAGATGCTGTATAAATAATTGTATTTCAGTGTTCCAGTTGTCATCACTCGTTGATTATATTTCGCAAAGTTCCGAATCAGATAAAGGCTGGTCCCAGCGTTTAGAGAGGACGGAAATCCTCAAATTGTATCTCTAGTGTATGCGATGAGCATTTCCATAACGAGCGACTCGAAAAAGGAATACCGAAAGTAAAACTTATCTCAATATAAAGTGATGGACCATCCGGTCCCTCTCGCACTTTTGTTTCTCTCTCAAAGGAAAAAAAAAATGAATATATATTGGAGAGCGATGCGAACAGATGGCTGAAAGGGCAGGAAGGAGGAAATGGGGAAAGGACTCACGCGATGGTGAATTTGAGAAAGACGGACATGACGGCGAGGCCAATTCCGGAGCCGGAGACGAGGAACGTCTCTACCAGCTCCCGTCTCCGCTTGAAGTACTGTCCCACCATCAACGTGGACGTGTCCCGAGTCAATCCCACTCCAAGCCCTTCACCCCCGAATCAATTCCATACATCCATTTGGTATCAACATCGGGATATAAATGACTCCTCCTTGCTTAAATGTCTATACTGCAGTGGCAATGAGTGCAAAGTAAGATTTGGAAGTCAATGTATACTAAAGAATGCAAAATTTGGAAATGAATTCCAATACAGTATTATTGTTAAAATCACTGGTAGACGTGATTCTTATGTATTGGTCGCTCTTTATTATTCATTCTTCTTGGCACAAGACTGTTACAATCCTCAATAATATTTCTTGACGAAGGGAAGTCATTACATGATTGAGAGGAAATCTCGAAGTCAGATCAGAGCTCACCTAAGACGAACCCATAAGAAAAGAAGATCTGATGGAATTCCGTGGCGAAGGACGTGAAGAGGCATCCCAGGGAGGAAATCAATCCTCCCAAAACAGCCGTCAATCGAGTTGACTTGCGACGACACACTCCGACTATCACAGGCGACAACAAGTGACTCACCGACATATTCACGGCACCCAAGCAACCTGCAATCGACCACCGGCAATTCATTTCAAATTATCGTAGTTGGTTTGACGGGAAATGACGGTCCTGGACGCCATCTATCATGGAGGGCAATTGGGAGAAATGGAGGGTAGGGTCATTATCACTCCATAGCAATTATGGCTATGGCATTTTCGCCATCTTTATTGAAGATAGTGAAATCGAATTGCAGGAGCAAAATGCTTCCAGTTAAGTCAAGTCAAGCATGGAATTTCCCTGCTCGGGGTAAGTATTTATGATTTCGTCATGATTAAGACGGGGTTCTAATGGTTACAGGATGACTGGAGGAAAAAGCCGCACCCACTGCTTTCCTCACGTCCTCTCTTCACAAAAACCATTCCGTAGATTTTCTCCTTGTTATTAAAAAGAGCAATACCAATACCGTAACGAAGGTATGACTAATGGGAGCAAGATTGAAACTTTTGAAAATTTTAAAGATTGATGGGAATGATATAACTTCAATTAAATGAATGAATGATGAATGGATACATTACACCTTTTATCATCTCATGTGCAAGTTTTAGAGGCAATCAATTTCGTCTGTCCACAAGCTTCGGCAATGGACTCAAGGACAGTAAAACATGAACATCTCTCTTACAGATACCATACACATACAGGACGCCGAATTCACAGTAGTGACTCAATTTCAATCAATATGTGTTGACTCCCCATCAATTTCGACAATTGACTATATTACTGACTATTAGCGATTTCATTCAACTTGTGTAATATTCAAATGTATTCAGTACGGTAAGGATATTGATAACTTCCCCCGCTGTACAAAATATACAGAATTGCTTCCATGAAATGATCGCCTCATTGACGCCTCGTGCATCAGTGCCCTGTTTTGAAAATCCAATTAAAAATTTTTGCTACTGATCAGAGAGTACGCTGGATACCAAAACAGAAATAATACCAGCAGCACAGCATGAATAAGATAATAATAACCCAGAGCATGCAGCTTATATACGAAAAATGAGCTTTTGGTTGCCCGCGAAGAGAGTGAAGACTGAGGATAATCATGAGTGCGACCATGAGAGCAAATCACGAGGATGAAAGTGTCTGCTGAAAACTAACGAATAGTAAGATTCTTCTTACTACAAAGCATTAAAAGTGCCTCATAATCAGCCATATTTTTATTTACAATACTTGCAGATCAAAGGAAACCTGGTTAGTTAGAGGGTTGCAGAAGAGATTGAGGATGGATCCAAACCATCCGCCCAATGCATTACTCCATTCATCCCTAGAGACAGATCCATTCATCGAATACCCACGATCAGTACGAGTAGAGAGGAGAAGGACACGAAGCGAGAGGACGTGACCCGAATTCTCAACAAATTTTCTCTTGCAAATCGATACAAGTTGGACGACAGACGACGACGGATTTATCGGCTTCTTTCTCGGCCGAATCTCTTTATACCGCGTCGCTTCCGAACGCAATATCCTCAGAATCCAGAATTGGGTCAGATGGAAGGAGAGAAGAAAAAGCTATATAGTAAATAAGGAAATCCAGTCGAAATGTCCATTGTGCCTTCTCGACGCTTGTGAGAGTTAGAGCATACTTCAAGGACAAGGACCATCCTTGAAGGGCAAGGAGGAGATGGAGAATGACAGATAGGAATCTGTGGCAGGAAGAAGAAAGAGAAAAATTTCTGTTGATGCATGGCTTCTCATTTCTTTTCTCCCTGATGTCCATTCTTTTGGAAGAGATTTTTCATTCAAATCTTCCGGGGGGGGGGGGGGGGGGGGGGGGGAGGGGTGNNGGGGGGGGGGGGGGGGGGGGGGGGGGGGGGGGGGGAAGGCATCTTGCAAGTGGAACGAGTATCAGGCTGGAACTGCCCCCCCCCCCTTCCCGTTCATGGGACTTAATTTTCTAAGGATATCGACCATGAAAATGAGAGGGGTATGAGCATCACATCCAGAGTTACGATCACGACCGCGATTGACGATGAACCGTTGCACTTGAAGTTCGAATAGCAGTGTTCTATCAACGAAACTTTGATATGCAACTGCTATTACGATGTCGTTTGATATCAAATTCATAAAGGACAATGTGACGAACTGTTAATTAATAACAAAAGATAGAAAATGAATTTTAAAAAAGCACAACAGTATCGAACATGATAGAATTAAGCTCATAATAAAACAATTGCGAGCAAAAAAAGTTAAGTGGCATTCCCATGGACAACGAATAAGACAAAGACAACAAATCAGGTACTTTTGACTATATCAGACTCCGAAGGAGATCCAGAAGCCAAAGCTGGCGTACATACGAGATCCCATATGAGGATCGATTTCAAATTTTTTTTTAAAATAATGAATGGACGTTACTTTTATTACTTTACTTTTTAAGAAAAGAATGCTCCTGTAAGTCACATGTTGCAGGGAATAAATAGATATAATTTACTGTCTACCCACTCTGAAGTGGTCTCATAAGGTCGGGATGAGAGGAGAAGGGTAATGGGTTCTAACAGGGTAGGAGAAATGAGACTCCGTTTCATCTAGGCTAATGCATATATAGAGCTCCATCCTCTAAAAATGGACCATGGAAGTCTTTATCCTCCGCCTCAACTTAACCTCCAGCAGTCTCGCCTTCTGGGTATTTCATATATATATATATACAGGTGTGATTATTTTTATTTCAGCTCTGGAGAGCTCTCACGCGGAAATAGGATTTCGGTCAGAAAAGGGAAAGCTCTCAAAAAAAAGAAGATAAATAAAATATAATTCTGGGGTGTCGAAAGTGCCATCGATCATGATGGATGTTTTTTTCGCCTTGCCAAGATGACGATAAGAGGGGGAGGGGGTATAACAATGATAATACCACGGGTTCCATCAATAATAGGAAAGCCATTCGTCCCCGCGCATTCTACAGACGGGACTAATGATCCCTTCCGTCCCCTCCCCTTCCCTTCACCTTACCGCAATCCATAAGCAACAACACTTCGCACTTCCAAAGTAGTGCCAAGAAAAATGTAGGCATTTTTTTGCCATGTCGCCGAGTGGTCGGCTACAGTTAGAGTCAGCTGGACATGTAGACAAGATTGATTGTCCCTCTGTTTGCATCCAATAGCGTCTCTGATAAGACCCTTCCTCCCCCTCTCCTCTGCTCTGCTCGAAATATGAAACATTGAGGGCAAGCAGAGAAAAAAGGTCCGCGTGCGACAAGCATACTAACCTGTTTCTTTCCTATTTTAACCGTGATGATGCATGGTGCGATAGTACCTGTGACACCCACGCGAACTATTTTCTTCCCGTGCACTCAGAGAGGAACTTTCACTTGAGTGCAGGGAACAGGGGACAGAGACAGTGATGGGATTAGAAGAGGATGGAAAGCAAATTATGACTGAAAAGGCAACAACAGTATTGTCTGATCCTCAGAGTCCGGTAATATCGCATTCACGATGGCCAAGCAATCTTAATGCTCGGACCTGGCAACAGAGTATTGATTTACTGCGTATCTACCTGTAATCGGTTGGACGGGAAAGTCAGCATGTAGTCACTTCATTGAATTATTCATGAGGATAACCTCACCTTGCTAACGCCTGTAATGCATTATCCTGTATTTTCTTGGAGGACTTTTGAGTTCTATATTAGGTCCAAAAACAAAAGATTTGACAATATTTCAAGCAAGTTATCAAAGGCAATGATGAGCAGGTGATCAAAAGGGAGATTCCGCTCATAGATCCATTAAAACGTTTCATTTAGGATATCACAAAGAATGCTACAGCTAACACTGAAGCAATGTGGCGTACTCCCTAATTCACGACTCGATCGAAGGAAATGAGGATTTTCTTAACCTTTCCCAACCAGAGACAATATAACTCTAACAGTATTCGATAGGGTTCAACTCCTGTTTTTTCTTTATCGACATGTTGCACAGCCTGTCGTTTCAACAAAGCAGGCAAAACTTTGTCTGATTCTGTGACTAGCGCAGCATGCCCTAACCTGAAATTCATGTGCATGCCAGTATTTTTGCAGGCACGTGGGATCCTCTTTAGCATGCCAGAACAAATAGGGTTCCCGAAGGGAAAGGAGTTCCGGGAATAACTGAATAATTGGCAGCAGTTACTGAGCAAGCCATAAATATCGTTTATAACTCCATGAACGGGGTTCAAGAGGAAGGCTACAGACTTAAATTTCTTTTGATACCTATCGAATTCGGGAAGCAAGTAGTTTCATGTGTCTAAATAGCTCTTATAATTGATTTCTTTGACTTTCCCTGATGGACTTAAGGATTAATTTCTCCTCGTGCAGTTGATGGCTTCTGCTTTTCCCTTAATCGTCGCAAACTTCCTTAATTCGATTCGCAAATGTATGATGATAGAATTTCCCCCTGTTCAAAGCTTTTCAATGATGTTTCAGGATAGAATTCATTTATTGACTTTCCTCTTTTTTTATTTTGTCCACTGCTGGTCTCCTGACGTTCCAGTTTTCCTAGGATCCTGAGAAGCTTGCTTGTACGGTAGTTATGAAAGCACTATCCAAATTTTATTGACCCAGAATCACCTAATCGGAAATTACGACTCCTAAGCCGTTTTACGTTGACAATGTGAAAAGGTTTACAAGAAAATAAAGATGATGTGCCTGAGGCCTCGTCCACACCAGAAAGTTCTTAATGCAATTTCTCATTGGATGTCGACTTGCAAAAAAAAAATCGTGGTGAGGACGTCTTAGACATGCAAAATTTTCAATGCTCTGGGAGATTTCTTCGAAAATTTTATTTCAAAAACTATTATTTTGCAACTTTCTTCGATCGTCTATGCAAGAAAACTTTCTGGTGCGGACGAGGTCTGAAGAGTTTAATGCGAAAATAATTGCAATCTGAAATAAAACATGCTTGGGAATGCGTAACCCCGACACAATATCAGGAGAGACTTGTCCCTGAACATGCCATTGGCCATCTGAGATCCCGAACGAGTGGATGAAAGCAACACTCTTGGATCGATTATTTTGATACTCTGATGTATAGGCAATCAAAAGA